TGCCCGTGGACCCCCGCCTCCGTGCGTCTTGGCAGCGCATGAGGATGGGAAGACGCATGGGAACACGGAGGGGAGCAGCCCAGCACTGCCGGGAAGTGGCCACCAAGGAGGGAGCAAGATGGGTACCCGAGCACCCCCTTGGGGCTGCCGGGATGCGGTGTCCCTGGAGGGGACACGGAGGGGGACACTCCTCCCCAGCACAAGGACAGACCCTCTGCAGCATTTTGGCTGCCTCCCAGTGCCACCCTGCAAAGGGCCAGCGTGGCCCTGGGGGCTCTGGGCCCCGCTGCGCTGCCCCTCGCACACACAGGCACTGGAGATGCTGGGGGCTCGGAGGGGATGCCCGGGGACAGAACTCACCTCCACGCTGTCCGGAGAGGCGCCACCGTCCCCTGCCGCCTCGGGGCCCTCGTCGTCCTGCAGCGTGGCGCGCTTGTAGTCGGGCATCTGCCGGTGGAGAGAGCGGGCTCGGACAGGGCCGGGATGCCCGGCAGCGCGGCACGGGCGCTCACAGCGCTGGGAGGCACCAGCCCGGCTCCGGCAGCGCCCCGGGCTCTCTCCCCGGTGCTTTGGCCTTCCTCGCCCTCGATACACCTCCTCATCATCCCGGGGGGCCCGAGGCAGGCAGCCGGAGCAGCCCTCCACGTCGCCATGGCGGCAAAGGCATCCGCCAGGTGCCACATCGCCGCGGAGACGTGGTCCCCGTCGCCAGGCAACCGGCTGCACCGTTGCCTAGCGCCGCTGCCTCGCCCCTCCCCCTGCCTGGAACTTTCCATGCAGATGTGCACGGCGCTCCGAAACATCTGGCAGCACCGGCAGCCCCCGCGGGAGCCCCCGGCCCCACACGCTCACCCACGGGCAGGCACAGCCTCGCGGGGGTAGACGGGGGACAAAGAGGGATTTGGCGAACCCGGCCGGAATCCCCCTGCACACCCAGCTTTCCGGGGCAGCCCTGTGTGGGCTGTTTGTACCCAGCCAGACATGAGGGCTGCCAAGAAATCAACTAAGAAAGAAGCAGTGGAGATGAGCCAGGAACTTGGTGGGGGGGGAACGAGCTGGAGGAAAAGGCTGGATGCTTCGGTAGAAGAGAATCGACAATGCTGATGTCAAATACATCCTTAGGCTTCAGAGTTAACACCCTGTTGGGTTGTGGCTCATCCTTCTTGCCCAAAGCTGCAGACTCAGGCAGATGCCGTGGGGCTGTCTGCAGGCCCGGTGTCGGAGAT